CAATTACACTTTGGATAAGACTGCTTGCCAGTCCTCGATTAACACGGTCTACGACTTTTCCTATTTCGTGGTAGATAACGTGTGAGTTCTTGGGAGGCTCGCCAAACTAATCTTTTTATAAAGATCAACCTAGCCGGAGCTTTACTTTTCTTTATTGAAACTCAAATCTCTTGTCTAGGAATAAGCTTCTAGACACGTAATTCGGTTTCTGGAATGTATTTGCCTAGGAAATCTCCTTCTAGGCTCTGGACTTGGATACTGGAACTAGTGAGACGTGGTCTCAAATATACGAAATATGACCAAGATCGCTTGGTCTATGGACACCTGACTGTGAGACAATGGTCTCAAATATACGATATATGTTCAAGATCGCTTGAACAAAGGGGACTATAACTTGACCAAGATCGCTTGGTCTATGGGACAACTAGTGAGACGTGGTCTCAACAATATGATAGATGACTAAGATCGCTTAGTCAAAGGGCACAGAGCAATGAGACAAAGGGGTCTCAAAGACAATATATGTGACCAAGAATGCTTGGTCTATAGCACTAAATAAGTTTCTAAGGTAAGAAACTTATAATCTCAAGGGAATTCTTTTCCCTGCACTTGTCTCACTTCAAAGGGACTAACTTTGCAAGTGAAATATCTGATAGGCAGATAGCTACAAATGGGAGATCATATTTTTTTGGGGGAGAATGGGCTCTCCTTATATACATTTTGTGTGGGAAAGTAACCTAGGTTCACAAACAATAAAAAATAAGGAGGACCAATCAAAATATTGGGTCAAACCCAATAAAAGAATAAAATACAAGTGAAAGATGGAGCTATGACATCATTGTGGAGCAGAACATTCTGGAATGTGGAGTAATGACATCATAATGTCATCAAGAGTGACATCATTGTGGAGCAAAAGATTCCAGAACCTTCCATGAGTGAGTCAGAGTGAGTCATTGTGGAGCAGAATATTCTAGAAGGAAATGACATCATGAATGATGTCATTGTAGAGTAGAATAATCTAGAGCTTGATGACATAATATCTTTCAACAGAATACCTGCAGGAGTATCTGTGGAGTCTTATGACATCATAATGACATCATACCCTATGGGTACAATTTTATGAAGTGTTAGGTGAGTCAAAGCATCCTAATGAAAAAGTAAAGTAAAGAAACACTAGAGAAAAGTAGGTAGCAAAAATAAGACAGTTGGCAGGAATTGAAACACAGTCAAAAAAATAATGCAGTTGGCAGGAATTGAAACACGGTCTTTTTGGATAGGTTTTTTATTGGCTTTGTACTTTTCTCTATGGTTTTCTCTAGCCAAAGTGAATAAGCCAAAGGCAAGGCTATACCTTAACCTTCATTTCCCTTCTCACATCAACTAGGTCTAAATGTGATTCCCATCTCACATTAGACTTTTTCCGTCAAAACATATTCAGATCATGAAACTTGGGGAAAACTAGAAATATGGACCATGGTTTGAAACCAAGGTATGGGTTGACTAGTCTGAGGACTAAGCTAGCAGACTTTATCTTTTGAGGGTCACCTAGTATTCATGTCCATGCATGATTCCCACATCATGCAGGACAACGCGCTGTGACCGAAGTGTTGCGAGGAATGAGAAGATGAATGCTCGGTGCAAGTTTGCAGAGGATGATTGTCTTGGCCTTAGAGTCGTTGATAAGCCAGGCTCGCATAGCTGCCTTCTCAGCATCAGTAGGAGTCGCTGGAGTAGCTGCGACAGGCAAGTACAAAGCCACTCCAAGAATATCATTCGGATTGGCATTTTCTGTTACATGACACCAGAGGTCATCGTTCGTTAAGACGAGCTGCACCTGCGTCTCCCAGGGAATATAATTTTCAGCTCCGGCCAACTCTGGGATGTGGTCATATTTCCCCATTGTTGGGGCGACATGTCAGAGAAGAAGTTGAATTTAAAGATTTGAGTTGTTCCAACAAGAGGGAGTTCGTCTTTCTAGATTCCGTGCTGTTTAGGACACGGGGCTCATAACCTGTTAGAAAGTACGCTCAGCGTTGGTGAACAACAACTATATTCACTATAAAGTACCTGTTAGAAAGTACACTATGACTCAAGTAAGTGTGAGATCGAGAACAAGATAAACAAGACGCGTACCTCAGCGTCGGTGAACAACAACTGAGGGACGCAAACAATGATGCGACAAGATACTTGTAGGATACAGTGAGACGGAGCTCGAATGTCAAGAAGAGTGTAACCATATGATGCCAAGGATGAAGCATGTGCTACGAAGTGGCGAGGTTGACCAATAGCCAAAAAAAACAAAACAATGTTAATCTGTCCGAATGCAGGGAATGACTCTCCTTCTCTCCAACAGTATCATCGTCGGGATCGTTGTACCATCGGATTTGACTGGCGTCGAGGAGAGTTCCATCTGCACCCAGACCACACTGGTCAGCCATGTTGTGAGGGGGAAAGCTTGAAGAGAGTTGAGCTTACCTTGAATTTGATCCATTTTAACTTCCATTGAGTTCATGAGTGCTGAACAATTCATGTAGCTACCCTAGAAAAAAAACGACCCGTTAACAAATACATTAGCACTAAACCAAATTAACCAAAGTCTCCATACCTTCACGGACCTTGCCAGTGTGGCATGGTCCTTGGGAATCGGATTCCAAGCGAAAAAGTCGCGAGTAATCATGTCATGTTCAGTGTATTGCGTGTGTGGGTGATGTCATCTCATATGTGTGAGTAGCCTAAAATGGAAGCAGTTCAAAAAGGTTCGGACCCGTTCAACGCGTTCAAGGAATGCTGAACGCTGGACTGGACCATCGGTCCAGTTCAGCCTATACTCTGAACGTTGAACTGGACCGTGGTCCAGTCCACGAAAGGTCCGGTTCAAACCGAACCTCCGCATCACTACTCCTGGCTGGAACATCCCTCGAACAGACAGCCACTGTCAATCACATAGTGCCTTGTGATGGCTTCGTAATCACCAGACCCACTGGAGTCTGGCAGCCTGTCAACGAAGAAGACTTAGATACCGCACTTTGTAAGCTACCGCTACTATGTCAGTGTCTTACTCACGGGTCTGTGAGAAAACCGTGGTATACTGCGAACACCATTCATACCCACAGAATTGGCAGGGTCGGTGTCCACCCGTACCAGTGCGGGTGCGGTGTTTGCGGGTATGGGTGGGGTGTGGCTTCAGCGACCCGCGGGTTCACCCATGCTCAACCCTAGTCTCTTTACTCTCATTTACGATGATTGTAATCATTATTGCATCCATTATTATTGCTTGCCCTCTGACTTTGCATCTTTTTTTCGTTGGCACGTCTTTTGTTACATGTTTTTCTGGTCCCCTGAGTTCCTTATACATTCCCTCGATCTCTAACATGCCATTCAGTCACATTCCTAGTACACTGAGGCTCTTGTCACGCTCTCCATGGCATGTGAAGCTGGATTTCTAATGCCCACTCCTAGTACTTGATATTCATCGTCTCTATTGCCCTCAGTGGCATAGAAAAAAGTCCTGTCATGTATAGATGAATCACGTTATCAAATCCAGGTAAACTACTGATACTCATGCAAAGCCCGTCTCGGCAGCCCTTGCATGCACCGTCATCAAAGCAATGCTTAACGCATTTATCGTCAGCCGCCGCGTCAGTGGGCACGGCGAAGATTAATGATGCTGAAGCAATGGCGAGGACAATCACATAAGAGAAATGCATTGTTTGGTGTAATATGGGATAAGATAATTCTGAAGAAAATGGTAAGAAGACGACTGGCTTTTATGTGCTGAATATTCCTTTCTTCTCACTAGGGTATACCCGCGTGTCGAAGGATCAGAGTTTTCCCTTACTAACCCGCGGTACAGCAGCTATTCCAAATGACCCAATAGGATAATGACAGCGCATACGTGCGGAGTTCCCGACACCTTATTCCTACAGAATCTGAGCTCAAGCCCATTTTTTCGAGTCTAACTTCATTTGTACCAGGCTAATTGGTCCAGTGAGCTCAACCCTTTAAATGCATGCTGATGATGTACATGGCCAAATGCAGAATTTGCACTACCTAACATTTGACGGTCTTTGGTTGTCGCTTTATCGCATTCTGACGAGAATATTTGCAGAACAAATAGATTCAGAACAGATTTTACAAAGCAAGTGCAGGTACTAAGATAATGGGCGAAAGCGCGCAGCGCTGACCGGCCCCGATCGGATGTCTGCCCAAGGTAGGAGGTAAGCTGCGAATTCCTCAGAGGAGTAGGAGTCCATATGACGCATCACAGCAAAGCCGTGTATACCTTTCAAAGTAAAACTCACGAGGAAGCGGAGTAATGATGCGGAGGTTCGGTTCTGAACCGCGGTTCGAAACCGGACCTTTCGTGGACTGGACCACGGTCTAGTTCAACGTTCAGAGTATAGGGATGGTCCAGTCCAGCGTTCAGCATTCCTTGAACGCGTTGAACAGGTCCGAACAGGTCTGAACCTTTTTGAACTGCTTCCATTTTAGGCTACTCACACATATGAGATGACATCACCCACACACGCAATACACTGAACATGACATGATTACTCGCGACTTTTTCGCTTGGAATCCGATTCGCAAGGACCATGCCACACTGGCAAGGTCCGTGAAGGTTTATTTGCCTACCACTAACCAAAACATCACAAAGGAAGCACCTGATAAGGTAGTATGGAGACTTTGGTTAATTTGGTTTAGTGCTAATGTATTTGTTAACAGGTTGTTTTTTTTTCTAGGGTAGCTACATGAATTGTTCGGCACTCATGAACTCGATGGAAGTTAAAATGGATCAAATTCAAGGTAAGCTCAACTCTCTTCAAGCTTTCCCCCTCACAACATGGCTGACCAGTGTGGTCTGGGTGCAGATGGTACTCTCCTCGACGCCAGTCAAATCCGATGGTACAACGATCCCGACAACGATACTCCACTGCCTGTGCTTCCCTGCTCAGGCACATCGCTCGACTCGTATCCCATGCCCTGCACCCAAGCTTGTTGAGGCATACCCAACACTCTCCTGCATGGCAAGAGATTTTCTTGTGATTCAAGGTTCTGCCACTCCATCAGAACAGGCCTTTTCAAGCAGCAGCATCACAGATCAGAGTCGACGCAACTGGCTCACGCCCGATATCTTCGAGGCGCTCCAACTGTTGAAGAGTGCTTATCACAACAGGCATATCCAGGCTGCAGCTGAGGCCGCCGCTCGTATTGAGCCCCTCGCTCATGTAACTGAAAACAACCTTTCTGTTGTCCTTACTGATCTTTAGTCTTGCCTTGCATTAATTTCACTTGGCCTTGCTTCACAGTAGTGTACCAGTACTCCTTACTACTAGCTATAGTATAATCAAGTATATTTACAATGCGTTCGATGTTCGAACGCTGAACCAGACGTGAACCGGATGCCATGAATGCATTCATGGTGTCCAGTTCAGTGTTCAGCAAAACGATTGAACTGGACGTGAGGTCCGGTTCAGCATTCGCAAAATTTGTTGCTGAACCGGACCAAACCGGACTTCCGCAACACTAATTCAGAGTGGGAACAAAAATTCAACTGAGATGTTACCCGATTCAGATTGTTGTGCACCACAACAGGTCACAGTCTGCCAGGTCATGTCGACGATATCGATATATAGATACATCACATGTGTCTTGTATCTACATGAACATTCTCTCCTTTGTTTGGTACCCTTTGCCACTCTGCCACTTTTAGGCCATACATACCCAATGCACAATTCTGCGATCATTAGTTCAGACATTTGATAATCCGATGAAGATGAGGAATATAAACTGTGGGGAAAGTTGGTGCTAAGCTAAGCAAACACAGATAGACCTGGGCATGAGTGAAATCATCGTCCCAAGGGCAGCTAACTGAGTAAAGGAAACCTCTCTTTGTAAAAAGAGGGACACCAAACAACTAATGAAGTACTAAGTCTAAGTAACGCGTGAAGTGGAAATGATGCGATGTATGAAAGGCGAATGCGCACGAGTGCGAAAGGGTGAAGGTCGAGATGTGCGACGTGAAGGTAGCACGCGCGAGCGAGAGAAGCAAGGGAAAGACGAGGTGAGACAAATGTTAACACCCCAACTATGGTTGGCTGATGCTAAGACGGAGACTGAGAACCAAAGTGCACGACTTTGGATAGTCACTTGCAAACAATGAGTAAAATTCTTAGTATCTAGAGACACATAGAAAGTGGGCAGAAAATCGACCTTGAAACTGGAGTAAAGAGATAGTATATGTAAAAATGGCTAAGCACCCTAGGTGCGCAGGTCCGATGTAGCGAGCCGAGTAAGCTAAATATAGTACACGAGGTAGGTAATAGGGTCTCGGCTGTGCACATAGTGCTAGGCCGAGATTTAGCGATGGAAACAATTGGTCAAAATGGGAATATAGTGAGAACACGCACCAATGGACATTAAGGACATGGGGAGGATGGATGGACGGGTATGCAGACGATGCTAACGCGGATGTGCGGTGCACGCAAAGTGCGAGTGGCTGCGCGTGGAATCTGCAAAGTAAGATATATGAAGCGCTACTGCGCAAGATGTATCCTTGGGATTAGAGCTGGAGTGTGTAGGGAGTGTGGGAGAATTCAAGGGAAGTGCCTGTGGAGGCGCGAGGCTCTACAACAGCGGGAGACTTTAAAATCTGACTGTCCCCAGTCAGCATGCACACGTTCATGCGAATGGACTTAGGGAAATTTTGATGAGAGGTGTCATATGATTGTGGTCCATAATCCGAAAACAAAGCACTGGCAATTGGCCTCGTGACCTCGGGAATTAGTGCGGATGCTGACATAATTGTGGTTAGCGCGTTTAAAAGAGCACTACATGGCAACGTGTTGTTTCTCCTCATCTTTCGCCTTGACCGCGATATACTTTTCTTTATCATGTCAACATTCGACTTAACTTTACTCGACCCTCCTCGCTTGCCTTTGCCTGAGGCTCAGGCGTCTGTCGAGGCTGCGCCAATGCTTGAGGAGCCAGCTTGGGAAATTCCTAAGCCTGCGCCTGTCGTCAAATCCGAGGGTGACTGCATACTCTGCATCTGGAATGCACTGTTGCCATCGGTCGGCATACTTTTGGGCTCGCGTCCAGAGCTCCTCCAAGAGCGTCTGGAGGACATTGAGTCGTGGCTCTGTGAGTGGGCGCATTTTGAGGTGAGTGGCATGCGTCTTCGCATGTAACACATTTTATTGATTGATTGGACTCATCTTTAGGCCAATGCGTGCATCTGCACGCGCGATGCGCTGAGTGCCGAGACATTGCTCCCAATCAGAGATGAGGAGAAGGAGGACCTCCGAGATCTGAACAAGTGGGTGGCAGTGGCAGTGGAAGATGGTGAGCGGGTGGAAGGAAGTGGCGGAGGCGATTATGGTGGAGGTGCATGCAGCTCGCACGGATAAGGAGAAAGGGAAGGGAAAGGAGAGGGAGGAGAACCCAGACATGGGTAAGCCTGTAGGTATTTTTCTTCCTTTTCTGTCGCATCTGGCTGACTCTTGATTTATGCCTTGCATGGCTGAAGAATGCACACCAATGGTAGAGCCGACCACAGCTGATGATGCCGATGACTCTGGCGAGTCTGAGGTTGAGGTCGCGGAGGTACCGAAGAAGGTGTGCCCTGCGCTCAGGCCAGTGAAGCCATTGCCTGCATGCCCTGTCGCTGGACCTTCAAGGGTTTGTGTGGACAATTCGGAGCTCAAGTGCCTTCGCGCTGATAACGAGCGTCTTCGGGTGGAGGTTGACAGGTTGTGCACCCCGCAGGAGGACTACAACCGTTTTGTGCAGAACCTTAATTACCAGGCCCGCAAACAGCAACAGGAGCTCATCACGATGAGCAATCGCCTTTACTCATTTTCGGACAAATGGAGGGTGATGGGGCAGGAGATGGACAACTTCATTGTGGGGCAAGAGCGTGCATGAAAGTAGATAGATGCTTACTATACTCTTTTCTTTTTCTTCTCTCTGTGCCGCCTTGTCTCACTGTACTATACGCCTGTGTCTCTCCACGCGCACACTTCGCGCTGTACATACAAGAATATATCGGGTTCTCGTTGTGTCCAAACATTTTTGCGTGAGCTTCGCCTAAGTCCTGATCCTTTGTCCATGTCCATTGGAGACACCAGCCTAGCGCTCTAGAGAGGACAGGAACCAAGATGCTCTGTTGCTCTAACCCACACTCGTGCTAACTACATGCTGCTCTCGGACCTCTGACACCCCTGACCCCTGACCCCTGCTCTACCTGTGCTACCTGCTCGCTCTAACCCAGCGCCTACTCCTGCCGGCTAACCTCTCACTGCGCTCCCCACTACATGTGCCCCCCCTTCTAAATGTGTCCCTCCGGGATCACACTATGCAACCGACTGTCACTTGTGCTGTCTTCTATGTCCTTGCCCTCCATCTCCAATGCCTGCTCCCAGTGTTCTATCTCCTCCTGAATGGCCGCCCACACACCATCTGCTTCAATGTTGCTATCCACCTCTTCGCTCGACAACATTGCTTGCAGTGCAGCTAGTTCTGTACCGTCTCAAGGTATGAAGCGGCAAAGACGTTGTGCATGGAATAGTCCGTGAAGAGGAAATCCTTCGAGGGATGTGAGAGTATAGGAATTGCCGAGTTTAGAGATGACTTGTCTAGGTGCTGACCATTTTGGGGTGAGTTTCCTCGAGTTCGACATTGTCATGTCTAAGGCATTTGTGTATACTTGGACTAACTGCCCTGGTTCAAATACAACTTCTCCTGCGCGCAATTGTATGACTCTCTTGTCGAAAGTGGCTTTCCGTTTGATTGCGTGTGCTGTTGCTTGATTTGCGCCATCCAGTTGTTGTTGTTCCACGTACACCATATGGACATTGACGTCCGAAGTACTTGGTGCTGTACTTGCATCTGCAGCAGTATTGGGGACGGTATTGACTACTAGCCCGAGGAGTAGTTCTTTGGGTGACAACTTGAACACTGGTATGATGTGTTCGTTCAGCTGACAGATTGCTGTGTCGAAGTGGTCTGGCCATGATCCGGTGAGGTCTTCTGTCTTTGTTCTCTTGTATTCATCCTCTCCTACCCCTGGGCTGCATAGCCTCTTCAATCGCCCTAGCAATTTCCCGTTTGCATTCTCCACTAGTCCATTGACCCATGGAGAGTAGGCTGCTATGACCTGGTGTGTTGTATTGTGCGCTGCACACCATGCTCTCACTTCTCCATTGTCAAAGTGTGATCCTCCATCGGTCATGAATGTCTCTGGTGCTCGAAACACGTGGGTGACTGTTTCTAGTCCTGCAATTGTGGTCTTGGCATTTCCGTGAGTCTTCAGCTTGAAGCCCCATATATATTGAGAATAGGTGTCTAGAATAAGCAAAACATTACTGAATCCACCTTTACCTTTTGGAAGGGACAAATAATCTGCAACTAGCAGTTCGAACAGGTGATGTCGCGTGATTGGGTACATCAGGGCGTGCAACTGAGTTGAGCTGAAGTTCTTGCATTGCGGGCATTCGAGCAATGCTCTTATGATGGAGTGGTCAAGATGTGGGCTTGCGATGTGCTCCATAAGCTGCAACTTTGTGAGATCTCTCCCCCAATGTCCATTAGTAGCGTGCACTTCTCTTGCTAATGCTATGGCTTCTTCTTGTGATACACATTCTACGTGTGACCTTGCGCGTGTGCTCTTACCATCCGCAATGCGCCATAACTGACCATCTTCAATCATATACCCTAGAGCTCGATGTTGTGCTCTCCTTCTCTCTTGTTCTGGTTTGTCGCTGTTAATATTGAGTAACACATCGACCACATCTAGAAAGAGTGGCTCCTCCTTGAACCGTTTGCGAAGGTCTGGTACTAGGGATTCAAGGGTAGGTTCAGTTGTTTGTAGAACGAGTAGATCGTTCACCAGGCCATGCGCACTTTCCCAGTCCTCATTGACCGTCCATGCACTCCCATCTCCATCCGCTCTTGGGTATCCTGACATTCAGCGGCTCAGTGTGTCTGCCACTGTATTACTTGTCCCAGAGCGATGCCTGACATCTGTTATTTGGTATGCGATGATTCCATCTTGCCATCGAGCATGTACCGTCGATGGCTTGTCGCTCAACAATGTGTCTCATAGCACGATACAGTCTGTTTCGACTTCGACTGGAAAACCCCAGATAGTCCCACCAAATTGATCGAATGCGTACTTTAGAGCTGCAAATTCTAGTAAGTACAGCTTGTATTGTTCTTCTGATGGTGACAGTTCATTTGGATGCAAATGCAATTGGGTGTACTCTGGTCGTTGTTTCCCCTGCATCATTCCTTGTCATAAATTGTTGCCCTAGAACTGCACCAAATCTGTCTTTGCATCCATTGCTGGTAATGATGAATGGGGACCTGTCGAACTTAGGTGCACTGCAGTACTGGTTCCGTTATGAGGGTTTGCTTGAGTCTCAGGAAGGTTTGTGTGTGGCGTTGTTCCCAGAAGTTCTTGAGCTTATGTTCTCGTAAGAATTGTCTGTACTTGCTCTTCTTTACCTTCATGGTGCTTGTTGGCATATCCAGGTTACGTAACATGTCCATGAGTGGGGCTGCGATGTGTGCATAGTCTTTGATGAGCAATCTGAAATAACCAGTAAGACCTAAGAAGCGCATCAGTTCTAGAAGATTCTGAGGAATCGGCCACTCAGCGAACTGCTGCCATTTTTGCCAAGTCCGGACATATTCCTTCTTGTCCTACTTGTGCTCCTCCAAAGATAACCTCATTCATGAACAGTTGTGTCTTTGTTGGTGATATTGACAGGCTCCGTTCTCGACATCGGATGAAAAATGTGCATAAGCGATTCAATAGCTCGTCAAAGTCATCTCCTGCTACTGCACCATCATCGACATATAATTCCATCATTAGTTTGACCAAGATGTCATGTAGCGCTTGAGCTGTGAGATTGCTAAAAGACGACGGCGCACTGTGAACTCCCATTGGCATCCGGCAGTATGCTTCATACCCTCGCCCTTCCATATAGAAGCACAAGTATGGTTGGCTTTCTTCTTCTACTGGAATTGCATAGAATCCAGCTGTGAAATCAAGTACACATATGTACTTGTGTCCTGCTAAACACTGCTGTTTTGCTGCAATGTCCCCTTGTGGAGTTGGAGAGACTTCTGACACTTTTTTGACATCGTTAAAGTTCTGACATATGTGCCACTTAATTTTCGAGGCGTCTACAGGTTCTGGTACGATTGGAGGTGCTGAGTCTAGGTCAATTTCTGGATCTGGAGGCTCACCCAATTTAATGCACTGCCTGTTCATGATCTGTCGTATATCCTCCATAGATAGGCTTGTACCAGAGTGTGCCTTCTGTACTAAGACCGTTGATGCGACAGCCTTGACCTCATCTGATTTGATGAATCATGTTATTCCTGCGTCTCGCATATCCTCTAGTACTGGGAAGAGATACTTGTGTTGTGGCTTTGTCAAAGGTCTTTGCTGTATCTTCTTGGCAAAGGATGTACCCGGTGGGACCTGTAAATGAAACTTGATAAAGTATACTGGCTTTACTTCTCATACTGATAGTGCAAAGACATCTGCGAATTCTGCTATTAGCGTCTGTGCCTTGTCCCACTGATCTTCCGTGAGTTGAGTTCCATATCGAACCGAGTTTACTATGGCTTCCACTCTCGCTGGCCAGAAGGGTCCGTTGTTCTGTTAATCTAGTGAATATATTACTCAGTAGTGTCAAGGATGAAAGGTCCAGCACTTCACCTATATGTATCAGTTGCTCTGGGTCTTCGACTTCAAGAATTGGGTATATCTTCTCCTCTGTGGCTGAATCTGTAGCTGTATGATTAGAGGGATTAGTATTAGTTGCTATTAGATATGTATCTGCTATAGTTTGTATGTGTGAAATGTTAGTATTATTTGAGTCTATTAAATTTGAGTCTAAGGAAGGTGTTGACATCTGATCGAAATTAGTGACAGATGGGAATCAGATAGCTGAAGGTAAACATGGGGTTGGTAACGGGCGGTATGTTACAAAGTTTGAAATTTGATAGAAACTATTACTGTGTGGGAGCATTATGGTGTCGTTGCCATAGTCTTGAATTGCATGGACTTGTTCTAGCAGTGGTTTTCCAATTAGCATGTGCCAGGATCCTCCGCTAGGGAAAACTTCGAAGGACATCTGTACGTTGGTGGGTCCCCACGAGACTGTTCCTGTCCATATGCCTGTCAATGGTACTAGGGAACCGTCAGCCATGCGAAGTGTTCTGGAGGATGGACTTAGTGGTGTTAGTCTCCGTGTGATTCTCTGATATGCCGCTGCGTCAATGGCATTGATCATAGCTCCATTGTCGACAATGGCTAAAATTCACACTTTCTCCCCTCATGGTCCATGTAATTGGGGTACTGTTGGGAACGGGTTACTGATTTGTTCTCGGATTGTTTTTCCCGATGTGTCCACCAAATAAACATCAGTGATACAATTATAAGGTATAGAGGAAGGTACAACCAGGCTCGTAAATGACTGCGGTTCATCCGCTGGTGCTTCTGCGTCCATAATTGAAGAAAAGAAGGAATCTGAAAGTGAAAGGGTGCTAACTGGTAACGTGTTAGCCTTAGAGATAAGAGAAAGTAATTCAGTAGGAATAGCGAGTGTGTCCATAGTATGTACAGTACTAAGCACTTCTTGCACTTCTGCTTGAGACGTAGAGAAAATATAAGAGTTCGACTGCTGTTCGTGCAATGAATTGAAATATGGACTGGATACCTGTGGGACTACTGCTGGTCCAGTGTTTGCAGTGTCCCCCCATAATTTTCCGACCCCCAGTCATATCCTGGTTCCTGTGCTCCCCATACATTGTTCTGTTCTCCCCATCCTTGTTTGTCCTGCGGGGTGACATGATATACTGGCTGCGCATAAGGGTTACTGTGTGCTTGGTATGGCGGAAGGTTTGCTGGTGCGACATATTGGACTGGGGTGGTATATGGGGTACGTGCTCCTTGCTGTAGCATCGCACATCATAACATTCCTGCCACCTGTTGGCGCCATTTAGTCTTGTGTGGACACAACGGACTCATCGTCATGCATTGTGAGCTCATGTGGCTTGGGTCTGTGACCATCCTGCAGTTATAACATTCTCCAGAGCCCACTAACGCAGTTCCTGGCCTTAGTGGGTATGGGCGATCTAGGGTTGTCATCCCATCTGTGCCATACGTGCGATGCCATAGGTCTACATCGGCTTCGTATTGATGCATTCCTACTTCAGTATTGGGTCTCTGCGGTACCAGCATTGTTCTTTCTAGTATCTGCGCACATATTACAGTGACATATTTCCGTATTATATGGGTCACCCGACCTACATAATATCTCGTATAAGACGGGCCAGCGGATGATGGGCTGATGTGATGTATATCCTCGATGTTGACGGATGGGCCAGGAGGGATATTATTTCTGATGGAGGCAGGTGGGACCATGTGTGGAATATGTAGAGTAGATGAGTGGGCCGATGGACATGAATATTCTATAGACAGATAGGCTGAGGTAGTTGGATATTATGTAGATGGGTGTACCAAGGTAGGTGGGTATCAGAGAGACAGGTATGCCAAGGGTACTTGTCATCACATACACGAGTGGGCCCAGATATATACTATATTAGACGGGTGGGCCGGCTGAGGGTACATTGTGTCACATACACGGGTGGGCCCAGATATATATTATCTTAGATGGGTGGGCCGAGTGTCAAGGAAGGTGGGTATCAGATAGATGGGTGGGCTGGCCAAGGGTACATGTTATCACATACACGGGTGGGCCCAGGGATATATTATATTAGATGGGTGGGCCAAGGGTGGTATATAATATAGACAGGTGGGCACAGGTGAATGATAATTGTAAAACAATGCAGTACTGATTGCTGAGTAGCTAATTCGGGTGAAGTGTAATGAGTTCCTGCAGCTGCAGGTTCATTACTATTGCATTGCTGTACGAGAAGCAAGGTTCTGACTACTGAAATTTGAGTGAAGCATACCGAGTTCCGAGACCCGGGTGTCAATAAACGAATATCTGATATCCAGCACACTTCCAATGATCGGGTATTTTATTGAGCAATGGATGGTAATATATCTTCGACAGCCGACATCATGGAAGGTTCTCTTATCAGAACCTCGTGTTCACCACCTACCAAATGCCAAATGCCAAGTTCCGACTACCGAAATTTGAGTGAAGCATGCTGAGATCCGAGCCCCGGGAGTCGACAAATGAATATCTGATATCCAGCACACTTCCAATGATCTGGTATTTCAGCTCCCTTATCTGATCCTGACTATCTCCACCCCCTTTAACACCAACCTCTGGGCGTCCAGCATTCAGCTTCTGATTTCCCAAGATCGACTTCATCATGAATAGTTCTTCCACTTCTGCAATTCAAATAAGCCTCTGGCGCACTTGGGCCCTGACAGTCACTCACGAGGCATGTGAATATACTGCACAGAAATTCAATGCAGAGAAGACAGGAGGAGACCCGGTGATACCTTCTCCTAACCTAGACACTGATCTAGTGATGGCCTGCAATTGATTGGTAGATTGGCTCATAAAGGCATATAAAAATCCGAGTGGGTCTTCCTGCAGATTCAGAAAATTCATTTGATCATTCAAATTCCTTCATCACAGTTCAGATAAACATCAACATTGCAAGATATAGCAAATTGATCTCCCCAAAGAACACCGGGCACAATGAGGAGAAAGAGGAGAAGTTGCTTAAGAGATGTCCTCCCGGCCATGAGGGGACAAGGTTTGTGGACATACCCGCCACCATTCTAGATGTGTCCGGCACCATCATTGCATGGTATCTCCCAGACGTCCTGACAGCCGAAACACAGGTGTGTGATATAGATTGTTACTCAATATATATTAAATACCAGATGGTAACCACAGAAGGAAATTTGGGCAGCCACTGAGTTGCTGTCTCCGAGTCTGGAAAGAAGTGTGAAGGTCGATGGGAATTGGCAAACCAATCCAGAGTGGTTCAAACACCACTTGGAAGATGTTGGCCTACCTGCCAGGTGCATTAATTTATCTCCGGCATGGTTTCAACAGGGGCACAAGGTAGGATTTGATAGGATGATGATTTCAGTAGTTGAGCACACCAATCCCATAGAATCTAGCGGACCCGGAGGTATCTGCATCATTAAAGGGACCATTGTCCGAGGGAATCCTAAACACCATTGCGAGGCCAGCAGCCATCACATCAGCGGCGCTCAGGATCATGCATCCAGAGCAGTACTGGGCAGGGTTATGAACATTTTCAAGCCTCAGAGAAAAGGCAGAAAGCAAGGAACTGCCAAGAATGTCCAAGATCCTCCAGTACTGGGCATCCATGTTTAACACGCTATCCATCATTTCCAATCGTCAAACCCCGCATCATCGAGACCATTTATCAATTCCTGAATGCTTTGATATTCTCACCACCATGGGGAATTATTCTAATGCTCAGATGAGCATGCCAAGCCTTCAGCTGGAGTTTGGGTATGATCCCAGGTGTATGATTGGATTTTCTGGAAGGATTGTCAGACATGGGGTTCATGAGGTGGAGGGGGATAGGGTTGGGTAGGCATGGTATATGAGGGACTCTGTTCATATTTATGCCGGGGTTCCCTCATGCGGATGGGCTAGGGTGGATTGACGAACCCTACCACCATGTGGAAGATGAAAAAAGTAGAAAGTGTAATTACCCATGTCAGTACCTGCTTTCAACTACCAAGTACGAACCGTCTCTCTTGATGACACTCGAGGTCTGAAATCCATAGCGGATGCATACAATAACTGTCCAGAGCCTTCTGTGTCTCTTGATGACACTTGAGCACCAACACATTCAGCGCGAGGGAGTGGGGTTTCAGTTGTGGTGCGCAGTTACAAAAGGCCGGCCCTGGGTTGGAGTAGCGCAGACGATATCATCGACCTTACGCTAGGCAATGCTAAGAAGAACGGTCTGTTGCAAAAGGAACCTACAAGTCAAAAGGGCACAGAGAAGCAAAGAAATGTAAGTATGAATGCTGCTGTACAAATTTGAAAATGGTACTGGGGCGATGGCTATCATTGTATTTAGACTCAGATCCTATCGACAGTCATCAAGGCCAGGAGCTTGGTAACTGGGCCTCGGCACTCGGGTCTTGATATTTGGACCTCGGTAGTTAAATGCTGGGAGTCAGGAATTGGTAATGGAGATCCGGAACTCGAAGTTTGATATTCAGCAGTCAACATTCAGTACTCAATGCTTGGACCTCGGAACTCAATATTTGGAGCTCGGTAATCGGGTCTCGGCACTCGGGTGTCGATACTCGGACCTCAGTAGTTATGTTCCGGGAGTCTGGAATCGGTAATGGAGAATCCTGAACTCGGAGTTCAATATTTGGCAGTAAACATTTGGTACTCGACGCTCAGCACCCGACATTTCGGAACTCAGTAATCGGGACTCGATATCTGGAACTCGACACTCGATATTCGGAGTTCGGTAATCGGGTCTCGGCACTCGGGTCTCGATATTTGGACCTTGGTAGTTAAATTCCGGGAGTCGGGAATCGGTAATGGAGATCTGGAACTTGGAGTTCAATATTTGGCAGTAAACATTCAGTACTCGACGCTCAGTACCCGACATTTCGGAACTTGGTAATCGGGACTTGATATCTGGAACTCGGAAATTGATATTCGAAACTCGACACTCGATATTCGGAGTTCGGCAATCGGGTCTCGATATTCAGACCTCGGTAGTTAAATTCTGGGAGTTGGGAATCAGTAATGGAGATCCGGAACTCGGAGTTCGATATTCGCCAGTCAGCATTCGGTACTTGACACTCGGTACTCAACGTTCAGAACTCAAAACTCAATATTCGGAGTTCGGTAATGGGGTCTCGGTAATTGGGACTCGATATCCGGACCTTGGTGGTCAGGACATGGTGATGAACATCTGCACCGTTTATTTCGGGACTTGCCATATAACATCATGTTAGATATTGCAATGTTTACATGCAATTTTCAGTACTCATAAAACACATATGCAACTTGCACTTCAACATTTCCAACTGAGTGACTAGAGCTACTCTCCTCTGCCTCTCTTCAATCTGTCCAGAATGGCAGTGTAGATTTGTATCTCTGCCATCTTGTCACGGATGCCCTCACATTGCTCCTCAAGTAATGTCAGGAGGCGTTCTCTAATCCACCTCAGTCCCATCAGTGATGGAACTGAGGTATGATCCACCTGCTCCGGAATTGTCAGACCATCATTCTCAACGCCATCCTAGAACAGATCAGTCATGAATCAAGGAAATGGAATAAGAATCTTACTAGCCAATGCTGGTAGTGAAAGATACAGCAAGTCATCACCCAATCCCATTGCCATGGTTCGTTTGGGATTGCAGTTTCTCCCATCCACCATGGGGTATCATAGCCGGATATGATCCAGGATGGATCTCCAGGATCTGCGATGTCATGAAACACACAGATGTGATATGAAAAGATGTGATCCGGAACCGTGTTCCAGGTGTGACCAGGAATCAAATGAAGAATATGAGCGATAGGGCTGGGAACGACCGAAATGATGTTCCTGGCAGCTGAGTACTGGAGGATGGGCATGACAAAAGTCTGTGGAAGATGTCAGCATTAACCGCCAGTGTCGTCAGGGTCTTACAGTGATCTCCCATTGCAGCCCGGCTTTGAAGTGCCTGATCTGAGCCAAAGGGGGAAGATTGTTATTTGCAGCCTCTGCCTGATATTGGGAGATGGATGCACGGATGCGCGATGCAGACATCGACATAGTAGCTGAAATGTCTGCAGGAGTGAGAGTGAGGGGCCGGTACTCATTGAGTGAATTCTGATTGTCAGAAGTGGATGCAGGAGAAGCATATAATTCAGGCATGGCTGATGCAGGAGTATCACACTGGCAATGACAATGACAGTTGGTTCAGATGTGAAAATATCATCCACTGATGGATGGATAAATTTTTCAAACTCCGACATGGGCTGACCCGGCCAATTCCTGGGACTAAATTTGTATATCAAAATGGTTGTTATATCCCATCGGCAATAAACCATTCATTCATCTCGGGAATCTATCAAAATGGTCTGCAGGTGTTGAAACGCTGCCTGGGTGTCCTGCGCCAGCAATGAATACATTCGGGATTGCCTTCTGGAGTAGCATGCATGACCCGGAACTCATTTTGTGAATGATTCCTGCATCCGGTCGCCCCATTGGGTTGCTTTCCACAAGAAAAAGTTACATGTCCAATCCATCTCGAATTGGACCAACATCAGCTCTTCCTTCCATCAATCCTGTAGTGCCTTTGCCCGGAGCCAGTGAACTTGGTAAACTTCATATTTGTCCGGTCAGCTCAACGTCGGACGTGTCGAGCATTAGGGAACTCACATTCCTCATTCCATGATTGATCCGGACCATGCATGTTGACCTTGACAGACCAGAACCATGCGAGGGATTCATTTCATTGACCACAGGCATTCGGATCACCCACAGCAGTGCTGATTTTGAGCTGCTCGCGAAGCAGGGGTTTGTACTTCTGAAGTTGGCCATGCCCCATGTCAAGTTTCATCATTTGCGTCCTGGTCTTGGTATACATACTTGCCTGACCATCGTTCGGAATAGGACTGCCTTGTTGCACAAGTGAATGTGGAGGTTGTGAAGTGCATCATTTGCCTGCCCTTCGTGAAGGGAGATCTCCAGTGGAATGAGATCCTCTGCCATCAAGTGTCTGCATCGATCTACCCCGAGGTTTGATGACAATGGGATCACAATGAGCTCGGGCGAGTTCATCCATGTATCAGATGTCTCGGTAAAATCTTCCAGGTCATCATCGAGATCATCTAGGATGTCTACATTCAAGTCATCATGATTGTCATCTCCATCGAATCCCTCTCCGAGATGCATGACAGCAGAACACGTAAATCCATCTATCTGGCCTTGGAGATGATCTCATTGCCGGGCAAGGTCTAATCTCTGTGTCTCCATAGTTCATTTTCCGATTCTTTGGACCTCAATGAGCAATGCAATTTGAGCCTCCTTGATTGCCAACCCCATAGATATCCATGTTGCCACAGATCTCCGAGATGGTGCTGCATTACGGGCATTACCCTGCTCTAGCAGTCTAAGTTCGATCTCCTTTTTGCTCGGTGCTGAGTGCGAAATTAATTCAGACTTCTATGGAGACATGGTCAGCTTACCCTTCTTGATATTTATCTCGTAAACATCCATCGCCACAGGATCATTTATTCTGCTGGATTGAGTGATCCTCTCATTGGCCAACCATTCTGTCTTCAAATTGGCGGGTGCTGCTTCATCGAGTCTGTCGAAAGCCTTTTCACTTTCGGCGATGCAATTTTTCGCCTGCTTGTATTTACGGCAAAGGGTCCTTTTCATGCAGATCATCTTGCAGAAGTTGGAATTGTTCATCTGAAAATCGAGACATTCCTGTCGATGAGGGGATGACATTCCCCAAGCAGCAGGGGAAATTAGGTTAAGATGTGCCCAGAGAGTCTCCATGATCTCTCCATCTATCCAGCCAATGCCTTCGATGAAATTCAATGCATATCGGACATAGCAGCTGTCTTGATGTCCATGCACGTGCCACAAACCAATGCCGGGAATGATGGTCAATTCTGGTACCATTTCAAGAAATCAGCTTCGATCCACCCGAACCTGAAGGTGCTTGTTTTGACAGTTGATGTCATAAGAGGTGACAGCCCTGGTAATGCCTTCCATGTTGTGCTGGGCAGCCTCGCAAAGGGCGTAATCCATGTTCATTTGTCTGCAAACGATGCATGATCAACTCGTGAATGTAGAACTTCATGTTCGGCTTGCCTTTTGCCTTTCTGAAAATCAACCATCACATGAGGCACAAAGCAGCTGTGGTGGGCACAAGCAACTCCCCCAATACCCATCGACTCCAGCTTGTGCCGAGCCGCATTTGCTTGATTTACCGCCTGGTGATTGTTGCAGCTAGATTTTTCCAAAGTGTCAGCAGCCTCCGCAAGATGCGCTTTATACCTGTCCTTTCCCACCATGAACCCCAGCCCATCTGCAAGCCATACTTCATCAAATGGCTTGATGGGATGCAAGTGTTCAGCTTTGAAATTACCGTCCATCACAAATGACCGGGTATATGTCCAGCTTGGAGTTCTTATCATCACTTAGGTCACTTAAGTATGAAACTAGACTCACTCATCAAGTGTTTCATTCCCTGACAAGGATATGTTGATCCCAGGCTGAGGACATGTCGGGCAAAACAATGCAAGATCTCCGGCATTAGGAGCATTGGAACGATGGCTGATGCCATGCCATTTTATGGTCTTCAACTGCCTCCACTGTCGAGCGACTCTCATGAGCTCTCTGTATCAGTCCTTGCCAATTGCCTTGTCAATATAATGTCCTTTAGATGAAGGAGATATATAATTACTGGAACAAGGTGAGGAAACATGCTGGAGGTCATTCGCCGGAGCTTGCTGTAATAGTTCATCGTGGAGGTGCCACATTCTAGGTTGTCCAATAGAAAATTGTCGAGCACTCTGAAGGTGAACACAGTCTTTGGTTTGTTGAATGATGCAGGGAAAAATCCATGTCAAAACATTTGAATGTCTGGACTCATGGTGTTTGGACAATTGCAGCATCGAACCTCAAGGTGATGAACTCCGGACTTGTCGACGATGACCATGGTGTTTTCCTTAGGCTGGAACTCTGGTCCTGACACGGATGGTAGATCTTCAGGCTCAAGCTGGTCCTCAGGTTCGTCTCCTTCGAACAAATCCCACCTATTTGCGAGTGCAGGACATTCTTTGCCATCATGACCAAGGTGTATGACGAGTCCGACATGAGCAAGACAACTTTGCTTGAAGAACTGACCATTCCATTGACTGATCCAGTGGAAAGGATTGCGACAATGTTGACTCCTGCAACATCCCGTGCAATAGAGTGGCTCCCCAAGACAATCTTGACATTTGTAGACCCCATCCTGGTTGCAGGCGATGCATCTCCTATCTTCTGGAGGAGCTTCTCGATCCAGGAGGTGATGCAGATATGATTCCTGCCTTGGGAGCCATTGCCTCAGGTAGTCATTCTGGCTCTGCATTTGTTATACTTAGCAATGTTTGAACAACACTCCAATGGTTTACATTCACTTGCCATTGTTTTTGGAAGCTGCAAAGGCTCGAATGAGCCTTGGTCTTGCTCATAAGTATTATCAGGACAGTCTTCCCAAGTAGGTGGTGCAGGAACAGGCTGAAGTGTTGGTGATTCTGGGGGAGAGTTAGGCATGGACCTGTAGGCATGTCAGTCTTGCGCTTGCAAGCGGGACCTTGACCCAAGTTTTCCTACCTTTTCTGCCCCTTGCTTCTACCCTGTGGGATTTTTGCAGCGGGGTGCATAGACCTATCTTCATCTTATTTTTGAATGTTGCAAGAACAGCATTAGCCCAGGAAGGTCGCACGAATTGTTATTCCAATGCTATGTTTGTGCAGTATTGGTTGTTCATTACAAATTTATTTCCATTAATGGCATCATGTCCAATATGGGGTGATTAACCAACTGTTAGGCTTTGGTCAAAGTTGAACTTCGAACCAATATTAATTACGCCTTGCTTACCCTCAGCACATTCACCAATCAGAGTCACCATGGCAAGGTCAGGTCATTCCACTCGCTTGTCTCCTGGAAGACATAGGGCACATCAACCCCAGACACAGAAGCTCACAGAAACCGAAATTTTCGAGCTGAAGAATTACCTTCCTGAGTGGACTTCTGCAAAAAGGAGCAAGAAGTGGGCAGTTTTCACTGCAATTGCCAGGGCTGCCAGGTTGTTTGCGCCAAAGGTGGACCAAGGACAATGGAAAAAGAGGAAGCAGGTGATACATCCTTGTTGCGATGCGAAACAAAAATTTTAATGTCTTACACTTCCTTCAATGCTCAGATGTACAAGACTTGGTTGTTCAACAACAAGAAAAAGAAGGAAAGGAAGGACATGATAAAGTATGGGAGGAAATGGATGCCTAGGATGGTGATCTACCAGGAGAATCAGGAAGAGGTGCTGAAGAGAATCGAGGATGAGTCCAGGGCAAAGCCAGGAGATCCTGGTATGTTCAAGCATTATCAGGCGGCTGTGAAGAGAGTCATGGCTGAATTGTCCAATGACGAGTTGGAGAAGGCGAAAGAAACTGCCAAAGAATGGTCCAACAACTGTCCTCCTCCCGAGATACAAGCACAGGTCGCCCGTAAGAAGGGACCTGCATATATGGAGCACTTTTTAACAATGCGGGATGGGAGTGTTTGTGTTGTCAGCTTGGAAGAATGAACGGGCGAGGTGCTGTTTGGGATGTGAGTGAATTTTACCTGTCATTGCAGATCTTTCAACCCAATATATTTCACACAGGCATGATGATAACAAGGCATTAGGAGATGGGGACAGCTTCATGAAGACAAAGGACTGGGAGGACATTGAGCCGGTGTGGCAGGAGTATGTGCAGGAACAGTTCGGTGAGTGTTTAAACTGTTGATACCCGGAGGGGTGTGTTGATGGTCTCTGTGATAGGTGCCTGAGCACAGGAAGGTGGCCGACAGATGAAGGGAGGTCGCAAGAGAATCTGAAAACCAGCCTTTGAGCTTGACACTGATGAGGATGGGATGCCAGTTGCTCCCTGGACATCACTGAAACAAAACTCGAGGAGAAGAAGGCCATAGTCAGGGCTTTTCTCACATCGCACTATTGTGAGTCAATCCTTGCTACATCCAGGACTTTGTTGAATGCATCAACATAGGGATTTGTTTGGGGATCGACAAGGCAGTAGTGCCATGGAGCACCATCCTTCAATGCCAGGATGACTTTGTGTCACGAAGATATCTTCCAGCGGATGTCGACTTGAAGGAGCCTTCCAAGTTGCAAAATTGGGACATGACAGCCCTCCTCAATTTCTGGTATGCTCGGCAGGAGAAAGGCGAAGGATCAACATTCACATTCAAAGCATGGAAGAACAAAGATGGCGACATGGTAGCATCGGTCGTATCAGGCAGGTTGCCTTCCCATCGGACAGATAAAGTCAAAAACACGCAAAGGGTAATCATCCGAAGCCCTAGGGATTCATCCTCCGAACCTGACAGTGATTTTGGGAATGACACTCATCATATGGATGATGATGATGATAATGATGATAATGACTCAGCTGATGGTAGATCACCAAAAAAGAGAACCAGAACTGGAGAAGGCCCTTCATCATCACATGCAGAGACGGCAATCCCACTGTCAATTCCGAAGCCTTGCCCTGTCAAGCTGGCAAAACATGGTGCACTGCTGACATCGTGAATGGGTGACCTCCTGGCCAGGTTAACCAACAGCAACACTGGTGAGGTTGACGATGATGTTGCAATGGAAGGGAGGAAAACATTGCCGGCTCCAAAAAGGATGCAAGGAAAGAAAGCTGTGACTGAGTGATTGGCGAGGACCACCTGGAGTAAGTCGATGCCAAAGCCATTAGACAGTACTCCTCGGGTGACAAGAGCAAGGGGAAGGAAGTGATGTACTTATCCCACACTGTCTCCCCTTATGTACATATCCATGTCATGCAATGGGAAGTAGGTTATTGGTGCGCCGGACTCGAAACATGGACCTGGTGGTCGGTGCTCAGGTCTCGGTAGTCCTCGGATAGTGAATAAATTGGAAATGGGAGTTCCATACATCCATAATTAAGTAGTTTACATGACGTGAGTGGGTTCATAAACATTCAAAAGTTCACAGGTAATTTGTCTACTAACAGAAATTGTGTAATTTACATTTGAATTTGATCTTCAAACCTAAGAATGAGGGAATCTAATACCTTGAGCATTTTGGAAGTCAAACGTTCAGCTCTTTGCAGCCTCCGGAGGTCTTCATCAGCTCTTCTGAGTTTGTCAGATGTTTCTGCCCAGGCAGTTCGGAATGGTCTCTCAGCCTTGAGTAGTTGTTGGATGGATGGGTCGGGAATATGTCCATGTCGCTGTTTGTAATCCCAGACCTGATCTTGAATGGATTGAACTAAGAGACAAATTAGCAGAAAGATAAATGATTATATCAGATACTCACTGCCTGTGTGATTGTAAGACTCAAATGGCTGGAGATCCCGGACCATGGCAAGCAATTCTTCATAAGTGACATCCGGGTGTGGCAAATCACGTTCAGGAGATTTTGCCATCGCTTGGGAGATGAATTAAGTAAGGAAACCTGGATGGTAGGGAAAAACATACATCACATATTACAGTGACATATTTCCGTATTATACGGGTCACCCGACCTACATAATATCCCATATAAGACGGGCCAGCGGACTATGGGCCAATGTTATGTATATCTCCGATGTTGATGGATGGGCCGGGAGGGATATTATTTCTGATGGAGATGGGTGGGCCCATCTATGCTGATATTATATATATCCTCGAAGATGTTGGGTGGGCCGATGTAATGGTTTATTGTATAGATGGGTGGGCCGAGGGAGTGGTGGAATATGTATTATATAGACGGGGCCGATGTAAGGGTTATTGATGGTGGGCCAATGTAAGGGTTTATTGTATAGATGGGTGGGCCGACATACTGGAATTATTTTGTAGACGGATGGGCCAAGGAAGTGGTAGAATATTCATTATATAGACAGGTGGGCTGATGGAGGGGGATGTTATATAGACGGGTGGGCCGAGGTAGTGAGATATCTGTCTGACATTCACGGATTACCGAGTCCCAGATGCCCAAAACCCTGAATCCCATTGTGCAACATCCATTCCGGACACCCAAACACCCCAAGCTCGAGACTGGAAACTGGAAACTGGTGAAAATGTGTTAAATTTCTATTTCCTTACACCAAACACATGAACACCTGAACACCCAAAGCCTGAAGCTTAAAAGTCCATGTATCAAATCACTGAGTGCCAAGTGCTGATAGACCCAAAGCCTGAGTCCCAAAATCCGAAGCCCAGAACCCAAAAACATGTATGCAAAATGTCCATTTTTCATTCATTGCACAAATCACTGAGTGTCAAGTGACAAAACCCGAAACTCGAGACCCAGTACACAAATCACCAAGTACCGAGTGCTGAGGGCTGAACCCCAAAGTCCAAAACCTGAAAACATGTATATAACATATCCATTTTTCAGTCATTGCACAAATCACCGAGTGTCGAGTGCCAAAACCCAAAACTTGAAACCCGGTATGCAACATGCCCATTTTTCATTTACATTAAACAAATCATTGAATGCCGAGTGCTGAGGCCCAAAGCCCAAAGCCCAAAAATATGTATACAACATATCCATATTTCCCTCACTGCACAAATCAGTGGGTGTCGAGTACTGAAACCCAAAACTTGACACCTGGTACACAAATCACCAAGTGCCAAGTGCTGAGGCCTGTGCCCTGATGTCCGAAGCCCGAAACTAGAAAATATGTATACAACATATCAATATTTCACTCATTGCACAAATCACCGAGTGTCGAGTACTGAAACCTGAAACTCAACACCCGGTACATAAATCACCAAGTGCCGAGTGCCGAGTGCCAAGGCCTGATGTCCGAAGCCCGAAACCCGAAGCATGACACCCAAAAATATGTATATAACATATCCATATTTCCCTCACTGCACAAATCACTGAGTGTCGAGTGCCAAAACCTGAAACTCAAAGCACGGTACAAAAATCACCAAGTGCCAAGTGCCGAGTGCCAAGGCCCGAAGCCCGATGTCCGAAGCCTGAAACCCGAAGCTTGAAACCCGAAAATATGTATACAATATATCAATATTTCACTCATTGCACAAATCATCGAGTGTCGAGTACTGAAACCCAAAACTCGACACCCGGTACACAAATCACCAAGTGCCGAGTGCCAAGGCCCGATGTCCGAAGTCCGAAACACAAAGCCTGAAACCCAAAAATATGTGTACAACATATCCATATTTCACTCATTGCACAAATCACCGAGTGTCGAGTGCCAAAACCTGAAACTCAAAGCACAGTACAAAAATTACCAAGTGCCAAGTGCCGAGTGCCGAGGCCCAAACCCCGATGTCCAAAGTCCGAAACCCAAAGCCTGAAACCCGAAAATATGTATATAACATATCCATATTTCCCTCACTGCACCAATCACCAAGTGTCAAGTACCGAGAACCCGAAACTCGACACCCGGTACACAAATCACCAAGTGCCGAGTGCCAAGGCCCGAGCCCCGATGTCCGAAGCACAAAACCCGAAGCATGACACCCGAAAATATGTAAATAACATATCCATATTTCCCTCACTGCACAAATCACTGAGTGTCGAGTCCCGAAACCCGAAACTTGAGACCCGGTACACAAATCACCAAGTGCTGAATGCTGAGTGCCGAGGCCCGACATCCAAAGCCTAAAACCCAAAGCCTGAAACCCAAAGATATGTATACAACATATCCATATTTCCCTCACTGCACAAATCAACAAGTGTCGAGTACCGAAACCCAAAACTCAACACCCGGTACACGTGACTACAACTGGACACGAATTCTGTATTTGTATGTATTATCCATTGATGTAGGGTTCAAATAACTTGGGAATTGTATTGACTACCAAGGGTCGGGACTCGGGACTCGCTAGTCAATGTAGGAAAATGATAATGAAAAAATGAAAATTATTATTATGCTTAACTTTCTTAATGAAGGTTGTAGTCCAAGTCTATGTGAGTGTATTGGTACCCAGTGTAGTAATGGTTGCGGTGCTGGGCTCAGAACCACTGATTTTCATACTCATGTCATTCTTGTCAATTGGAGATTATTTGAAGACTACATTAAATGTTAGTCAGGGTTGAGTATGATAATGAATGTATAGTCATACCTCAGTCTGAGAACAAATAGACTGAGGTAGGATGATGCAGGTATGAGGATTATATATTTGTCTGGCATGTTAGCAATGATGTAAAGATGAGGCGTGCATTTGTACATGTGTGCAGTAAGTGAGCATAAAGATAAAAGAATGAATATTAATAGCGAGACTTGCACATTATGTTGAGATATCTAACATGACAAGCCTGTGATGGGATCAGAGACCTGGAATAACACCCATATATGTCCATTATAATAGCCCTAATAATTTAGAAAGATACATGAAGGATTGATGTAATGACAGGCATATGTGTGAAATGTGACAATAGACATATTTTTACAAAGTCGCATTTATAGATGATTCAGGCCAAAGATTTCATTAAAAATATGTAGGATAGATTGTAAACTACCTAAGGAACCCATACTGCCTACTGCCTTGAGGGTAGGGGGTGGGTGGAAGGGATATAGTGAAAACATGAGTTGACTCAGCATTAAAGTCCTATTATTGCTTCACTGACCATTTTCGATGCTTTGGGTCTTTGAAGTTTCCCACACTCCATTTCTTATCTATTTCACTTCCTCAGTACTCAATTCTTGGTGGATTTGTCTGTAAATTTATGTCTATGATACTTAATATATTTTAAATATACTCCAGGTTTTTGATCATGAAGATTCAATGTTTTGAAGGTATGGGCCCCTTATCAGGAGAAATGGCAAGTATGCACACTAGCTCACAAACTCCAGCCTATTGTGAGCTGATCTTGGTCATAAGAGGCAATAATATAAGCTATGCTCATTATATATTAAAAGGTTGGATCATGGATGCAAGGGCAAGATACTGAAAATCGTGAAAAATGTCAAAAGTGCAATGGTCTATGCTTACATGTAATAACACTGTCTGTAATATTCAATAATGTGAAAACGAGTAAATATGCACCAGTGGGGATAGATACGACTAGACAGGACATAGGAAGGATGAGTCTGATGCAAAAACATTGGGTCCAAAACTTTCAGGCCGGGGTCGGGCATTGGGATCAGGATCGGAATGTCAGGGATGTGTCGGACAAATACTGTTTAATGTGAGTATCGAAAACACAGGTTTTGAGCCCAGTGCTGCGACTATCATTACACCAGGTACTGAGTACTGATTTCTAAGTACCGAGTACCGAGTAATGAAATAACCAATTGACAAGAAAAGACTACCAATACACTCACCTTGACTGGGACTACAACTTTCATTTTTCATTCTCGCCGATGTTTCAGATTTCTTTAGCTTATATCTTGGTCAAATGATAACCGATGGACAAGAAAAGACTACCAATACACTCACCTAGATTCGGACAACAACTTCCATGTTTTCATTATCTTTGCATATTGCACACCGGGTTTTGAGTTTCGGGTTTTGGCACTCAACACTCCGTGATTTGTGCAATGAGTAAAAAATGGAAATATTGCATACATGTTTTCGGGTTTTGGGCTTCGGAATTTGGGCTTCAGATGTTGGGTTTTGGGCCTTGGCACTTGGCACTCTGCACTTGGTGATTTGTGTACTGGGTCTCAAGTTTTGGGTTTTGGTACTCGATACTCAGTGAGTTGTGCAATGAGGGAAAAATGGATATGTTGCATACATATTATCAGGTTTCAGGCTTTGGGTTTTGGGCTTCGGACATCAGGTTTTGGGCCTTGGACATCGGAGCTCAGGCCTCAGCACTCAGCACTTGGTGATTTGTGTACCGGGTGTCGAGTTTTGGGTTTCGGTACTTGACACTCCATGATTTGTGCAATGAGGGAAATATGGATATGTTATATACATATTTTCGGGTGTCATGCCACTCGGCACTCAGCACTTGGTGATTTGTGTACTGGGTGTTGGGTTTCGGGTTTCAGTACTTGACACTTGGTGATTGGTGCAGTGAGGAAAATATTGATATGTGATATACATATTTTCGGGTTTTGGGTTTCAGTACTTGACACTCGGTGATTTGTGCAATGAGTGAAATATGGATATGTTATATACATATTTTTGGGTGTCATGCTTCGGGTTTCGGGCTTCGGACATCAGGCCTTGGCACTCGGCACTCGGCACTTGGTGATTTATTGTACTGTGCTTTGAGTTTCGGGTTTTGGCACTCGACACTCGGTGATTTGTGCAATGAGTGAAATATTGATATGTTGTATACATATTTTCTAGTTTCGGGCTTCGGACATCAGGGCACAGGCCTCAGCACTTGGCACCTTGGTGATTTGTGTACCAGGTGTCAAGTTTTGGGTTTCAGTACTCGACACCCACTGATTTGTGCAGTGAGGGAAATATGGATATGTTGTATACATATTTTTGGGCTTTGGGCTTTGGGCCTCAGCACTCGGCATTCAATGATTTGTTTAATGTAAATGAAAAATGGGCATGTTGCATACCGGGTTTCAAGTTTTGGGTTTTGGCACTCGACACTCGGTGATTTGTGCAATGACTGAAAAATGGATATGTTATATACATGTTTTCAGGTTTTGGACTTTGGGGTTCAGCCCTCAGCACTCGGTACTTGGTGATTTGTGTACTGGGTCTCGAGTTTCGGGTTTTGTCACTTGACACTCAGTGATTTGTGCAATGAATGAAAAATGGACATTTTGCATACATGTTTTTGGGTTCTGGGCTTCGGATTTTGGGACTCAGGCTTTGGGTCTATCAGCACTTGGCACTCAGTGATTTGATACATGGACTTTTAAGCTTCAGGCTTTGGGTGTTCAGGTGTTCATGTGTTTGGTGTAAGGAAATAGAAATTTAACACATTTTCACCAGTTTCCAGTTTCCAGTCTCGAGCTTGGGGTGTTTGGGTGTCCGGAATGGATGTTGCACAATGGGATTCGGGTTTTGGGCATCTGGGACTCGGTAATCCTGTGAATGTCAGACAGATATCTCACTACCTCGGCCCACCCGTCTATATAACATCCCCCTCCATCGGCCCACCTGTCTATATAATGAATATTCCACCACTCCCTTGGCCCATCCATCTACAAAATAATTCCAGTATGTCGGCCCACCCAGTCTATACAATAAACCCTTACATTGGCCCACCCGTCAATACAATAAACCCTTACAACGGCCCACCCGTCTATATAATACATATTCCACCACTCCCTTGGCCCACCCATCTATACAATAAGCCATTACATCAGCCCACCCGACATCTTTGAGGATATATATAATATCAGCATAGATGGGCCCACCCGTCTCCATCAGAAATAATATCCCTCCCAGCCCATCTGTCAACATCGGGGATATACATAACATCGGCCCATAGTCCGCTAGCCCATCTTATATGGGATATTATGTAGGTCAGGTGACCCGTATAATACGGAATTTGTCACTGAAGGGGCTCAGCATACTCAGAACCAGGATGTGCGGAATGAATGCTGTGTGCATGCACATGTCATGCAGCCTCCACTGTGATGCGTGAAATGCAACTATCAACAGTGAAGGTGGACGGATTGGTGGGTGTTGCAGTCATGTTCTCGTCATGCATTTGTTGCTCGAGCATGGACTTAAACTGTTGCCATACGGCTGTCTGAGGCAGGCCAATGAGTAAGCTGTAAATGGTGTCCTGCATCCCTGAGACCAGCTCCCAAATCGTGAAGATGTTCCCGAAACATGGCATGCTGTCCGACATAATTTGTTGCATCGGCAGAGTCCTTCATTCGAAGGGCATCTAGTCGTTAACATAGTTGGTACTGAGCACTTGTATCAGTCCTGTTGAAGTGCTCTGCGAGTATCTGCCACACTTTGCGAGCAGAGACAGTGTGTGAGCGTGATACAAGTGCGCCAACTGATGGACTGAGATGGCAAGCGACTAGGTCCTTTGCTTTCATGTCCTTCAACAACCATTCACACATTGTCGCTGTCTCCACGGCAGTGACAGTTGTTGGGATCAGCAGGGACTGGTAATAAAGATGGAGTTCCAAGGAGGTCTGCAGGATCCAGAACCATATTAATATGGCACCAAAGGTCTTTGCACGCAAGTGCATATTGCATTTTGGTTGACCATCCAATATAATTTTCCGATCCTAAGAGTTCAGGAATATGGTCAAATTTACCCATGACGATACCACCATGAGGGACAACGAGATAAAGTGAAAATGTGTGAGTGGCGGTTAAACGTGAGGGGAATTTGGTCTAGTAGTTTCGTTCGAGGGCTCATAACCTGTTGAATGTGAAACTAAAGAGAGAGTCTCAGCATCTAGGAAGAACAGCTATATCATTCATAGTACCTAAAGAGAGAGTCTAGAGATGAATTAAGGTAAGACAAGGCTGGCGTGCAGAATGAAAATGAAACATACCTCAGCGTCTAGGAAGAACAGCTGAGGTATAAATATAACACAATGAGACACTTATAACATAGTTTACGTAATGAGAATTGCAAAGAGAATATATATCGAGTGACGTCGTTGTATCCAACAATCTGGAGGTCAATGCTGGAGGGGTATACCTGCGGGTCAGCCACCGGTGCTTAGCACACATGTCCAGCACATGTCAGCAAATGCTGATGTGACTCAAACATATGTGGATGACGCCCAAGGGTACCAGAAGGAGGAGTTGAGGCATGAGTGAACGCAAACATGACATCTAATGCACAGTGATCAGTATAAATTAGCAATGCGAAGGGATGAGGAACAGACCTGAATGATGCCGCCGCTGCTGACCTTGGAGATGTTGTAGAATGCCTTGTCAAGCCTGAGTAACTGAGTGGTCCAGTCCGTGACCACAGCCTCAAGCTCTGTACAAGCGTGGCTCGCAGCCCACTACAACAAAAAGTTACAAAGACATTGTAAGGATTGCATTAGAGAGACGTACGAAGAATAAAAAATGCATACACAGAAGCAGCTTTCTGAGGTATCCTGGCTCGACTTGGGATGAGACAGGCCTATCCCTTGAAGTGTGAGTTTGGCAGGAGTTAGCTTGGACTCTGGAGTGGAAGTCGGCTTTCGACATGCTGGACTCTAGCGCCAAAAAATACACTTGGCGAGAGAGTTGCGAGGGAGTTGGGATTGACAGGCAAATGAGTTGCTAACAATAAATATACCTATGACACAAAAGTTAGTTATAATGATGCACAGATATTGTGACTCACCAGGTTTTCTGATAGCGACATAGTTCACAAGGGGAGTTCCAAGAAACAAATTGGTTGGTAACCATGCTGACTAAGTATGCAAAGCCATGGCCTGGGCCGCTGGCTTTGGCTTTTCAGTACCTCAGGCCAGGCCAAAGCTGTGGTCAGGCCATGATCTTTGGCCTGGCTTGGCCTGGCCTATTCTGGCCCGGCCCGGCCTGGCCCACGGCCTGAAGCCAGGCCATGCACATCACTAATTAGAGTGTCCAGATGTCAATGAATATGTGTTGGGATCTGATCCGACACAGTCCATCACTTGATACAATGTGGCTATATGCGCCTCGTTTCTGATAGGAGCCGAGTTTTCATAACTTGCTGGGAAATTGGATTGATTCCATGCATGCAATTGTGTCGTAGAATACATGATTTTAATGAGTATGCAAAAATGAATGAGTCTTGATGATGATGGTGTGAGGCAACGGAGAGACGAGGCGCATCAATACATGTATGAGTGCGTCATATCAATATTCACGCGTCTCGCGTTATATTGGTCACATGATCTGAATTTTTACATCCGGACAAATTGATTTGGCTTATAGCATCATTGCATGCTCTTGTTCCGTTAATCTAAATATCTAGATGCATTCTTAAGTAGTAAAAATGGGGGCCTCCCTGTGTTCAGTTAATTTTTTTACGAGGATCTTACTCCTCTACGGAGGAACTCAGAACGAGGTTCTCGAAACTTGAAGTGGCTGTACATTAGAGTTTTTTGGCTTATATAACGACGAGCACCATGTTGGGAATTAAGGTTTTCCCCACCTCTTGCTGTCGAGTGGTCTTACATCCATGTAATTAGTACATCTAGCACGATGAAAACGACATACGATTCTGCCAGTTCTGCCCACAACACTACCCGCGCTAGTGCGGTCTTTCAAAACAGCCCAAAGACCAACTGTTTGAGCAGCTGGGCTGACGCGAGCATATACTACCTGTGCGCGCGGCAGAATCATATTTCAATTATGAAAGGGACAGTGATTGAAAACATTAAGCCATGGGTAATGAACATTATTATATTGGTCCGCGAAGTTCAAACAAATATACTAAAAATGCCTACTGAGATGAGTTGATGAAATGGAAGAGACAAGGATATCCAGTTGCAGCCACGAAGTAAACTCATACAGGAAGGACTGTTTTGAAGACGTAGTCCCAGATCTTACTGGTAACACCGAAACCTAGCTCGAAGTTCTTGTAGTGGTGTGCAAGATGATATTTCTTCATGTGCCGCAAGTATGCAGGTAACTTCGTGTGGTGAAGTCTGAAGGCGGATCAGTACAAGGTGTCAAATCAGAATCGACCAGACTCACGCGTAATGCATGCAGTCGTAAAGAACATCTATAAAAGATGGTCAGAACAAGTTTCAAACTCGTGCACACCTACTTACAAAACGCAAATGAACCGGAAATGATACCGTTGGCGACTGGAGTGGGGAACAAGATATATGCGAGGCGAGTGAATGGAGTTTGGAGGATCCCAAACAACAAAGGCGGCATGACGAGCCTGAGTCTAAGAACAAATTAGTGACTATGTTATACTCCTCCACTGCTTACGCACCTATCCATAGGCATATAATGATGAATACCGTGAAGCAAAAAGTGAAGTGTCAAAAACGCATAGTGGTCTGGGAGGAATTCGTCGATATGGAACAGGAAACGATGCATCCCGTATTCCAAAATTGTCCATATGAAATTTCCCAAGAAGAAGCATGGAAGCGTTTTAGCAAATGCGTCTAATGTCAGGGTTGATGTGAGCGACAAGGGGAGCAGAGGATTGGACAAGAAGGTGGGTATGGGACCATTGAACTGGAGCATGGACCGAAGGAACAGATTTGCGGTAATTGGCAACCAAACCAGTGGTACCACATACCACACGGTCCGTGTGCACACCTGTAGAATCAGATAAGATGGGAACACGTATTTCTAGGTTTGCTGCGCACCTCAAAGATATCATAGGTAAAGAGACGAGCAGACTCTTGCAAATGCCGTGGTTGATGAACTTGTTTGAGATAATAGGATTTACTATATACAAACAGTCAGAAAATGCGTCTTGGATGAGGAAGTCCCAATATACCTAAAGTTGGCTTGCCACATTTGATGCAGTAAGGGCGTACGCAGGTCCAAAAACTGTGTCTTCTCAAAATCTTCTGCAGAGTTAGTGTCTTCAGGATGGAAGTCATCTGGGGCTTCCCAGTCTGTAGAACAAATCTTCCATGAGTGTGTTTTGCGTTCAAGCGCAGCTGAGTACACACCATCCCTGACAACTGTTGCTTCCGTCCCCAAACGTCCAATCACGTATTCCTCCAACATGTCATACGCAGAGTCAGAGTGATCATGAGAATCACCATCCTTCATGATACTTTCTACGTCCGTTCCAGCATACGCAAGAATGAGGTCGTCTCCTCCTGGATGGTCAGGCACGAACCCAGTGACATCGTAGACCTTGCCACGGCAGGTTATCCAACAGCTTTTGTCGGACTTGTGGTTTGCAACATCCTCTTCAGTGTAGATCCGAACGCGTTTCGTGACCGCCATGTTTGTTGTTGGAGTTTGGTGAAACGACAAATTTTGTTCGTGCCCCCACTTTTGACCTGTTCATTTCCTGCGAAAGTTCTCACGATCTGGACAAGTATAAATTGCCCCTATTTTAATACGATTACTATATCAGTGATACCTATTCGTGACGCGTGACTTGCGACTATTTCGTGATTTTATCTACAGCACTGAATTTTAAAGTGATTCCTCAACTAATTCACTGAGTATGTTCTGAATGCTATACTACAACAGCATATTTAAAATGAAACAGTGAAATGAAACAAATATTTTCATCAAGAAATGATGACCGAATCGGTTCACCCGTGGTTGCCGATGTCGGACATTAAATTTAACAGTTCGTTGTATTGCAGTCCGTGAGCGTCGCTGAGACAAGTTGGTGGAATCTGGGTGACCGACCCCAACTATGGGTCCAAGATTCAGGCTGTACTTGTGTGTGTCACAAATGGCGCATATTCCAGCAGTTGCAAGGTATGATTATGTATTTTTCGAGTTCCTGCAATGCTAATTTCATTATACAGGTCACCTTAAAAGACAGGAGCAAAGATCCGCATGTGTCTCGCAGAGATTTTTACAGCAGCTCCTCCAGCTGTCTGAAGAGGAAGCTGTCAAGGACTGCTAGCTCACAAGCTCGGCTCTCATGAATTGAAAACATCAAAACGAAGGTATTTGATGGCTTGCTATCATTAATGACAAATCGTACAAGCGCAAGGACAACGTCATCATTGTCGCTCTTTCGCTACCTAGAGATAGGACAATGATGGAACCGACTGCACGAATCAAAGAAGGACATACCAGTGATATGTACAGGTGCTGAGAAACGTAGCTTGCCGGAATTTCTCGGCACCATATGTCCAGCTGAGCGTGCGCGCTGTTCGCTTCTGTATCTGTTTCTTTCTCTCTTCCACGACATTGAGTTCGTCGTACTTCGTACATCCTCACATCGATTCGTACATACAGTCTTGCTTTTATAATCATTAGCAATGTACCAGCACCTTGGTATCGAGCTCAACGATGGGATCCCAAACGCTCCCATTACACCTCCAGTCTACTGCAAAACGCCACTGCGTCTGGTTCCGGTTCGAATGCTCATTCATCGTCGTCAGCAAGGCCAGTTCCATCAAGTAGCAGGGCACCCGCGGCCCCCAGGCCACCAGCCCAATCCGGGCCATCTCAACCATCGGCTTTGCAGAGCACCCAGCAACCAGTACCTCAGCAAACTCATTCTTCTTCCGCACGCGCTGCTCAGCCTGCAGCGCCTAATGCAGCACCCCTCGCTGCTCAGCCAGCAGCAGTGCCTCCAGCACCTGCTCAACCACAGGCTATTCCCGCACCCGCGGATGAAATTGCTGTTCTAAGGGCGCGAATCGCCGAGCTTGAGCGCGGGAATGCTCACGGCAACCATTTCCCGGCCAGAGCTCCCGTGCCTCAGCAGGCTTTAGTAGCAGACCCTGCAGAAATCGACCGTATATGCGCGAATCTAGCTGGCGCCAAAGACAAACCTAAACGGCTCGTCTTACCCGCACTCCAACCAGGGCACAAAGTCAGTGCCTTGAGCTTGCGTGAGTTTATTTCGAATATTGTATTCATTATTATTGGTCGTTCGGGCCATACCGCACGCAAATCAGCGTCTACCACTGGTAGTTCGCTAGCACAACCGTACCGAGCTGTCAGCCAATTAGGCGATCACACCATTCGTTCATGAATCGTTCACACCGTACCGTTTCTGCATCACCGTGCTGCATATTATCTGCTACACCATCGCGTTTACCGCACCGTCTATTCGTGCTTGCTGATGCGCTCTATTGTAGCCATACCCCTCAAAGTAGAGGAAGCATTTAAGAATTACCGCTACTGTCCCGTACACAGCTCTCACACATGCAGCTCGTTCCAAAGCTTTCCTGCGTGGGGAAGACTCATCCTTCGTCTTCACGCAAGACGGGCTTACAGCTAAAGGTCTCGACCATGCAAATGAGCTGTCAATCATGATGGTCGACTGGATAGCAGCAGTGAAGGCTGCAGAAGATAGAACACTGCATTACTGGGGCGATGCTCGCGCATCAGCCCTTGTGTCGCACCATCTCGTAGTTCTTGATATTGGCCGTACGCACGGCTGGGCTGTGGCAATGCACTACGACGTGCAGCAAAGAGAATTAGCTCATGCCAACCACGAGCATAATCTTGCTGGCCTCGATGTAGCGGCTCTTACCATAGCCAATAATAAAATCCCTCCTGTCGCACCTCAGTCTACCCCATTCATCTCCCCCTCTAAGCGA